TATGTTCCCACTGGCCTAGATTATTATCAAGCTTCATACCCACATCTTTTCTATCATTTGCTGCTTTATTTTGATTAATAGAAGTATGTTAAAGGGATGGCGGTTAAAAATTATGTTGGCATGGGTTTTGCATGAGCTACACAGCTTCTGCTTAACCAAAAATCCATTTCTCTTCGATGAGATTTTTCATAGTACTTACCCAAGCAGTTATTGAAGCCTGATTAACTCAGTACAAGTGCAGAGCAAATCAACACGATACATATATTTTGTTAATGTGTGCTAAGTATTTTATACATATCACCTCTAGTCACAATAACTTGTGCTCATATTCACATATTTCAGATAAGGAAACTAAGGTTAAAGATCTCAATTTTGCTTCAGCAAAACTGGGATTCAAAATCAGCTCATTTTACAATCAGATTTACATTTTTTTAGAATTTCAAGGAAGCTTAATTTGGTTAAAAAATTAACACAAATAATATTAATTTAACTAATATACAATTAATATTTTATGTTTCTTGTCTCTAACAGTTATCGGTGAAAAATTAATATTAATTAATATTTTATGTTTCTTGTCTCTAACAGTTATCGGTGAAAACAACTAGTAGTTATTTCACTATATTTCAAAGGATAAAAATAAAGTAACACTTAGTTTTATGTGGAGATTAAATGGAATAGTGACGCAAATAGATCTAAACTAGATAAATGAAAGCAAATTTGCTACTGCTTTTATGTGAGTCAACTGTATGACCTACTGTATGAATGTGTGTGTTTTTCTGATTAGAAATGCCTGTCTGAAAACATGAAAGATCCATGAAGAAGATGGGAAGGTGCCCCTGCTTTCCTATAAAGATGGGAAGGTGCCCCTGCTTTCCTATATATACAAACTTCACATACTCAAATATCACTAATTATAACACTATTCTGCCTGGGAATCCACTCTTCACTTCTCTAAGCATATTTTCTATCTCTAGGACTTTTTTACTTAAGGATTTTTCTTAGTGTCCAATTTTCAGTTTGGGAAGTAGAAGTGGCACTTGACTGAATGAAAATACACTCATGAAGCATAGCAAACATTTCTTTTCTCTTTGGGCCCTGCTGGGATACAAACTTCTGTTAATTTGGGGCCAGATTGGTTTAGCATAAGTGCTGGATTAGTTAAATCAGAGGTTTCTTGATACTGCTCCTTTCTCATTGCCTCCTACCCCACTTTCCAAAGAGTTATCGAGAGCTACTTCCTAGCCAAATTTTACAAGGTCTATGTACTCTGAGGTGTGGTATTCAAATGAGAATTGGAAACACTTAAGCCTTCTTAGGTATTTCTGCAGTTGAGTCAACAGGCTGATGTTCACGAATAAATGCAGATTGCCATTCTAAGACAAATTTGCCTTTCCCCAACCCNGCTGATGTTCACGAATAAATGCAGATTGCCATTCTAAGACAAATTTGCCTTTCCCCAACCCCGTCATCCTCTATATAAACAAACAGTTCTGCCCTCATGGTGGGAACCTTAACTAAAGGGAAGCTGTTGACTTGAAAGTTTATAAGCCTTTTCTTAAAAAAGACAACCAAACAAAAACAGCTCAGGATGATGGACTTTAATACCAGCATATTTCATGTGCTATCAAAACAAAAAGGAACACAACAAGTTACATTAATGTATTTTACATTGGAGGTCTCTGATCCAGGCAGAGGGTTTTAAAACTCAAACAACATCAGGACTGATACGTTGGAGAATGTGAATGAGGGAGAAATGTGTCTACAGTATGTGGCATGGTCAGGGAGGGATGTTCTCATCTCCAACACTCCGAAATTTGAGATTCTTCTAATGTAGAATGGTTTCTATATGTTTAACCCTCTTAAACATTCATGTAACTAATGCTTTGATATCTTTCAAAGAATAAATCTGCCTGCTTAGAAGTATTTAATGAGTTCTCATAGGTAGTAGTAGCTGATGTAGCAGATGTATCACCCAGTTTTGGTGCTTCAACACATCACAAGTTTATTTCTTGCCCAGGTACAGTCTCAAACAGGTGTTTGTGATATTTGGACACCTGTTCTCCACACAGAAACATAAGCATCTAGTCTCTTGACATCCTTTGGTTTC